GATTTTGTTAGTGGCAACATTTCTGCTATGTAATTTTGGCAATGGTTATTTTAACTAGAAATCTAAGTTTAATTGTTTAAAATAAAAGTTTGGAAATGATCAGTTAAAATATGCAAGTAAGCAGTATGCTACTCTAACCACCTATGTGAAAATTCATATAATGTATTCTGCTAAAAACCGTAACAGTGACCCACCAGATATTGCTATCCACATATTTAATATATAATTTTTGTAGTTATACAAAGTCTCAGGTAAACCAGAGACAAAAAGTTAAGAACGAAACCTTTGCAGAATTTTCAGGAGTTGGGATACAGTTCTTTGCTTTGTCTCCATTGACAAGGTAGTGGATGAAATACAAAAAATAGCCTCACCCCTCTCCCACCCACCTATAAAAAGAAAAGAAAGCGTTGGGCACATTCACAGCTCATGGCTGAGTCATCTCAAATGGCAGCATGTACTGCTGTACCCATTCAAATAAGTTTTTGTTGTTAGTGTATTTAGACATTGCCCAAGCAAACCAGTTTTATACCTACTAATGTTGTTTAAGTTGAATATATCTTTAAGCTATACATATAGCATTTAAAGGTCAGAATCCCCTCCTTGCTTCTTACTGCCTTGATCACTATTGTATTTTGATTAATAGACAGTTGCAATTCTTATTAAAGCTGGTGGATGTGGTGCCTACTCTTCATTCAAACTGAAATAGTAGAAGCAATAAAGGATATTTCTGTCTTATGATTGCTAGAGTCAAAGGAAGACACCATCCAGGGCACTAAATTGCATACCAGGCCAGTTAAGCACATAGACCAAAGGGTTTTCCTGGGAACTTTATTACAAATGCTGGGCCTGGGATCACCCAGGATGGTTGGGTGCGTGCTTTCTGGAGACAGAAAGGAACTAGAAAGCAAGAGAGAGCAAACAGTAATGGACAGAGTTGTTAGCATGATCTTGAGAGGGAGCAGAGACTGAGCTCTTCGGGGCACAGGAGCTGTTGGAAAGTTTGAAAATGGTGAGTCAGGAACTTGTGTGCTGCTGCTGTTTCTACTGTGTCCAGGCCTTCGTATACTTTCCTAGTAAACACACAGAACCGCACCAAAGACTACATCTCACCTTTATAACTAACATTTTCCTGCTAATGGCTAGTGAAGGCTCAAAACTGCTCTACCTCAATGATTCTTACCTAGGGTGCCTCAAGACCCTTTCAGGGGTGCTGTGACATGGGCACCATTCAGGCAGTGGCTAACTGGAACTCCCCCCACGCACTTCATGCAGTGCTGTGCCTAGACTCAGGGTGGCCCCAGGCAAACTTTTAGTGGCCCCTTTGTCAGAGACAATGATAATAATAATCAGACAATGGAAACAAAATTACCATTTTCAGTCCCCCTTTCTGTCAGGGTCCCAGGCAGCAGCCCAGTTCACCCATGTCTGTGTCTGACCCTGACTTCATGTACAGCCAGATCAGAGAGGGCTGCAAATGAGTGTGAACTCATGCCTGCATTAGGGTTATCTGACAAACCTAATGTTGGCAGGAGCACCTGGTCGTGTCACAACCCTTCCTGGTATTACTTTGCATGGCATCTCTTGGAAACAGAGGTGTGTGGGACAGGTAAAACTCCTGTGTGGGGAGGAGCATGCGGGGGCTGCAGTGGAAAGGGTTGCAGCCAGGTATGTATGCTCCTGCCTAATTTAGGCGGATTGGATAACTGTAATGCAGGCAGGAGCATGAGGTCATGGCACAGCTCTTCCTGATCAAGAGGTGCACAGAGTCCTCATGTGGTGGTGGTGGTGGCAACAGCAAGCTGGGTGAGAACCACTGCGGTAAGCTGAGGCAGCATGACAGTGGTTCTCAATCAGAGTGCTGTCAAATTCAGAAAAGTTTTGGAGGGGTGTCCTGAATCTAAAAAGGCTGAGAGCCGCTGCTCTAACTACTTGAGCAAAGGGGCAGGCAAGAGACAAGCAATTAACAGTATATGGACACGGGATACTAGTTAAGAGGCTCATAGCATTGGTGGCTGGAATGTCTGTGGGCACTTGTACATGTGACGGGAGTATAGTTCTAAGGGTTTTATTCTATGCCCCCTAAATTGAAAAGGTGGGTTTTTAGTTTAAACCTACCATTTCAATTTTTCTGTCACGTTGTGGCAAGGGGCCTGATCCTTTTTTTATTTATTTTTTGTTGGAACTGGAACCTGTCTGTAGCTGGGGACAGGGTGAACTGCCAGTGGGCCAAGTGGCCCCTGACCTGCAGGGAACCCCAGTCCTTCCCTCCGCAGCAACAGTGCCCCCTGGGGTGCCTGGGTGTGTTTCTAGTGGGTGGGGTGCTGCCCCAGCTCAGAGGTAGCACCCAGCCTGATCCAACTGTTCCCCTGAACCCTCCTGGGGAGCAGCGCCTGGTGGGCTTCGAGTGGGGGGGCTTGAGGAAGACTTGGATCAGGCTGGGTGCTACCTCTGAGCTGGGGCAGCACCTGGCCTGCTAGCAGCTTACCTGGGCAGCCCCGAAGGGCACTGCTGCTTCAGAGGGAAGGCTGCTTGGCCCACTGGTAGCTCACCCCCTAGTTGCGGGAGACGCGAGCAGGCCCTTTGCTGCTCCTGTCTTCAGCAGGCACCTGCTAGCAGGACACCTGGGGCTGCCCAGGAAGTGGCTGGGCTACTCCTAGGGTAGCACAGGAAGATGGCAGAAGGGTGGTGGTGGCCAGAGAAGGTGGTAGGGATGGCGCATGGAGCTCTGGAAGCCCAGGTGGGCTTGGTGAAACATTGGACCAGGAACCTCCAAGCTGGGGCAGCACCCGGCCAGCTAGCAGCCCACCTGGGCTTCCAGCGCCCCATGCACCATCCCTGTCACCTTCTCCTGTCACCAGTAATCCCAGATGCCCTCCTGTGACCATACCACACTGCCCCAGGGTCAAGCCAGCCCTCCCTGGGCGGCCCCAGGTGTCCTGCTGGCTGCAGGAGCCTGCTGAAGGCAGAAGCGGCGAGGGGTCCAATCCTTTTTTTCAGTGGAGCCTGCACACCTCTCCCGCAGCCAGGGTGTGACCTGACCACTCCATCATTACAATTTGCAATGTTGCAAAATCATTTGGAATCCTGCAAAACTCTTGCACATGTACAGCACAATGGCATTAAGCCACACAATTTTGGTCACGTGTTCATGGTAATGATGTCACATGTACAAACGTCCTGTGTGACCAGGTATCCAAACCCTGCACTGACCACAAGATGATTAAAGAGCAGGGTTGGCCCATTTCTGCCACACCTGGCCTGCTATTAGGCCTAGGAAGTAGGTTTCATAGGAGAGGGAGGATCTAGAAATAGAGAGAAAGAAAAGCAAATGGTGGCTTCTGGGTGGAAGAAGAATTTTGGCAGGATCTAAGAGTTGTCTGGGCACTGATGCTTACCCAAGCCCCTTGGAAAGGGTGAATGGGTCTAGTCCAGTGTGGTGTTTGATTGGCCACTGGGGCAGCACCGTCACAGGCAGGGCTTCCTCCTATACGGAACAGGCCTGGCAACGGCACTGGCTGGCCCGTTGCTCTGTTTGTCTGTTTATTTTGTTTGTGGAATTCGATTAGTAGATTCTATTCCCTCCTGAAAAGGGACCGAACGCTCTTGGGCAGTGAGGCCAGAGGCCTGATATAAACGTGTGCCCTCTCTGGGTGTCATTGTATGTTTCACCAGGCCGTACCTGCCACTAACTGTTGTGTAACAGCTGGGAGACGGAATATAACTACAGTTGAATATGTTTCCATGAACTCTGATCTAGTGTCATATGCAGGATGTGTAGTGCAGAGTGTATGCCAGACTTGAGCTATGTTTTCCAGAGAGTCTTTTTTTCCTTCCCCTCCCTCAAAGAAAGCTCCGAGAATCTTTGGTGACCCACAATGTGGTGATCATTGCTATTGCTAATGCCCCTGCCATGCTTAGGATTTTGGGACTGAGGCCATGTGCATTTTTGCTGAAACAAAATGGTGGCAGCATTCTGATAAACACACAGACATCACAGAAATCAGGGAAAATCAGAGTTGGAAGGGACCTCAGGAAGTCATCTAGTTCAACCCCTTGCTCAACTGAAGAACAATATATCCCAAGATTCCCTGGAGTATAACTTTGCTGTGGATTGCAGTCTCATTGGGTTTGCCTGAAAACCAGCAGGGAGTTGCAAGCTCTGAAAATTTCCAAAAGTTGCATCCTTTTTCATGTATCTGTCTACCTATGAATTTAAGAATTTGCGGTAAACATGGTGGGGAGGGGAGATGATTTCAGTCAGCAAAGAGCAGCGAGACACCTACCCACTGCACATAAGTAGAAGGGGAATGCCCACGTTCTGTCCCTATGTTTGAGCACCTCTCCCTCAGGTTTTTTTTTGCTGGCAGCTGTGCAAATGGCAATAATTCCTGGAAAAACGGTGCGAACAATTCTTGTGTTTTTTTAATTTTTTTTTTTTAAATAAAATGAGCCTACAAAACCTTTTCATTTAAGCTTTGTCTTTAATGAGTAAAACATTATTGGTTAATAGTTATAGCTTCAAAAAAAAAAACTTCAATTAAAAAAAAATGTTTATTTTTAATTCCTGAACTGTTTAAGAGGGTTTATCTGAAATAATCCCATTTGTATGGCAAGTATAAGGGGTGTCATTTGATTATGAGAGTCTTTTTGTCCCTAGCCCCACTCTTGATAAAAAAACCGAAGCAATTTTTTAAAACCATAGCATCTTTTCTGATGCCTCCATAATATGGTATTCACGTGTAACTTTACAGGAAAAAAAGGATACCCATACAATGTGATGTTTTGGTTACTAGTGCTTCTTGTTTACCCGTTCTTCACCTGTGCGCCAAATGTGAATGTGTAGGACTTTGTTTTGTCTTATTCCGTCAGATGGATCCATGTTGATATGTACACAGTAAGCCGCCTACTTCCCCACTGAATGCCGAGTCATTTGAATGTTATGAAAACTCAAGGTGTTATCTGAGCAGATCCCTAAATATAAGCATTTCTTTTCTTTACAGCAGCATAAAAACGAAGTGTTAGGAGCTGCTCTTAACTCTTTTGGAGTCCGAAGTCGAAAGGTAACATCACTCAACATTTTCTGGGTATTTTAAGGGTATGCACTGTAATTGTTTATAAATACTGTTTACTTGTTATGCTCAAGCTGAGACTTTTAAAGAGCTCACAAGTAAGGACTTGGCAGAACAGTGGGGGGTGGAGGGCGTAAGAACAATCTAAACATTACAAGAACTTTCTAAAGACCATCAGTAAATTCAGGCTGAAATTATGCAAATTACAAACTGGAAACCACTAGGAACAATAACATCTAATTTACTGAATTCAAGAATATGGACATTAAGAGCTCACTGGGATTTTCAGAGGTACTTAATATTGATCGGGGAACCATAATTTTTCTCATTATGATGTGATAAAGTTTTTGATACATTATGTTTTACCAAGTCAGGAGATAGGCCCTGTATCTCTTTTTCTAGCAAAGAGCCCTTTAGTGGGAATTTTGCCTGAGTAAGGATAGGAAAAGGGTCAAAACAATTATCTCTTAAATATTCAGTTATTTTGCTACTCCACGGTATAAAACAGTGGATATATTAAAAACAGCAAATCTTCCTATTCTGTAAAATGGTAGCTGCTCAACGCAGTACAGTTTAACACTTTCTGCACTTGGTTTTGCTGTTCAATAAGTATGAGTGAAATATTTCCCACAAGTAGTCATTCAGACTTGTACAGGATTGATTTTTGTCTGTCTCTCTGCCCTGTTAGCAAATTTCAGAGCAGTACTGTCTATGGAAATGTCTATGGACATTTTAAAGCAACTTCTGGAGAATATTTGTAGAAGATACATTTTGATTTAGCATCTGCTTTGGAAACAAGGTGCTGAGAGACTCTCATTTGATCTACAGGAAAAAGCCTATGATGAGATCACCCAATCAGTGTGTCTTCTGAATAACCAGTGCTTGATGCATACTGCCTACAAATGAGATGCAGATTAAATATTCACAGATATTATTGGACAAATACTTTTCAGTTACAGATTTAAGAGAAAAAATATGGATCTTTAACAGGTTAAAAAGTAAATTGGCCAAGTGGTAAGTCAGCTCTACCAATTAGTATTTGTACCATGTCTTTCTGCTGTATTAGAAGTAAGGGCCAGATTATTTCTTGTTCCTACTTTGCTCTAGAGGGGCAAGACCTATCCTTCTCCTACACACAGTGACCACAGCTGGCCATACAGAGAGGTAGAGTAGATTGTGTGTAAATATTTCTTCAGCTTCCTCCTCGCTGCCAATGAGTGGAAAGGGGATGAACCTTGGCTCTTTTCTTTGCTTGTGCTGAGTGATGTAGGAGGAAGAAGAGGATAATAACCTCTTACTGGGAAGACACAGTAGCTGATTACTTTACCTGGCAGCAGACGGGGAGCTCTGACTCTTTGCAGTATAGTTCCTTTCCTGGTTTCCCATGATGGTGTTTATAGCCATTCAGTACCTGTTCTGCTAAGCTTGGCCTAAAGTTTGTCCTAGTCCAAGGCCTCTGCCATTGGCAAGAAATGTTGTTGACTTAACACAAGCAGATCGCTTGAATGGTGCTATTGATGTTGTTGGACTAATCCTAGTACCTAACTTTAAGCAAGTATGTAAAACTCTGCAGAATTGGGGACACTGTTTTTATACCCTTGGGCGGGCTCAGAGTTAGTAGGGGAGAAGAGGAGATTTAATATTTTGAGGATTTTCTGTTGGCTTTGTAGCACGTTTGGCTGGGGTGGGGCGGGGGGAACAAATTAACATTATCCTTTTGGTTTTTTGCATGTGTTTAAACACTCCCTCTAGAATACCATGACTGAAATTTTTATTATAGAGAAGTAAACTACAGATTGCTTTGAAGGGGGATGGGAGACAGGACAAGAGATCCAGTGGGCAGATACTTGTGCGGTATGTGAACCCATGTTTACAATTTCTTCACACTGGTATGCACCTCAGAGTTATTTTTTATTGTGATAAGATATGCAAATAGTCCTGGAGCCAGCAGCAGTACTTTCACCTGAATGTCAAAACTGACAGGGATCTTTAAATTGGATTTCAGCAACAACTAGTATTTTAAAGCAGCTAGTTCTAAGGTTTGGCCAGCAGAGAAAAACAAGTCTGCACTTCCTCCACCCCCCCCCCCAACCCTTTAAATATTTTTCATCTCTTCTCTTTCATCTTTTAAATTTGGAGAAGCAGAGTTGCAGAATGACCTGTTTAAGTACTGGGTGTAGCTATGGGCAACAGTGCAGAGGAACTATAAATCTAAATGGAAGTATGAGCAACAGAGTGGAATTCAAGTTGAAAGCCATTGCAAGTTAACTTGTCATTTCAGGCTGCTCAAAGATGCTTCTGATTTTTTTCAGATATCTAGAATTCAGGAGCCCAACATGTTTGTTTGGATGGCTGATACAAATTCCTAATTGCACCTGCTTCCTCCTTTTAGTTGTACTTTTAAAAATTCTGATACAGGATTACAGAAGCCTTGATAAATATACTCTCATGATAAGGTGATTGCTTTTTCTTGAGATTTGGAACAGAACTTCCTGAAAGTTTGGAGATGGTTTGGTTTGCATCTAAGGCTTTTGTTTTGACTTTATATTCAGTGAAGGAGAAAGGGGGTAACTGTGAAGTACAACTAGGCTTCAAACCCTAGTGTGTGTTCAGCTCTGGAACCCTGGTTCGCACCTAGGCCTGCTTCATATGATGTGAGTTCCTCTTCCCCTCCACTCTATCTCTCTTCAGATGACTGTAGATAACAATATCCAGCCCACCTTTATTTTCTTGTTGACTATTCTCCCAAATAACTTGATCCCTATGCCCAGTAAATCCTTATGTTCAAAAGACCGGATATATGGATTTCTTTGCTCTAGTCAGCACTATTCTTTTTTTCTGCTTTTTTAAGGTGGAGTCTAAAAGAGTTTACTGTTGTGCTTGTAATCAGAATGGAAGGACCTTGGATATTAGGAAGAACTTTCCCACAGGGTGATTGAGCATTGGACCAAGCTACCCAGAGAGGTTGAGGAATCTCCATCCTTGGAAGTTTTGAAGAATGAGTTAGACAAACACTTGTTTAGGATGTTTTAGATAAGGATGTTTCTGCCTTGAGCAGGGGGTCAGACTAGATGACATCCTGTGGTTCATTCCAGTGATGCTTTCCTGTAATTATGTGACTTACCTAAATGGAATATATCCCATAATATGTGCTCTTGAAGAGATACTTGAGTTATAGCAGCATTCAGGGCCCCCAGTCATGCTCCCTTTTGAAAAGGGGTTTCTGAAATCCTCAGCATTTTGTCCATGAGCAGATTTAGGCCAGAGTATCCATTACAGAACATTGTTGTATTTAATTTTGAGGCATATTTTTGTATTGTGGATACTCCACTCTTCCCCATTCTACATAAAAATCATTAAAGTAAATGAATAATCCACACACAGAATTAAGCCTTTCAGAGAGTTTGTTGAAGAGAGGAATTTGCTTTTTTGGTAAATAGTTTCTTTCAAGGTCATGTTAAATAAACAGCCAAAGCTTGTGTTGGGGAAAAATACAATAAAGCTTTAACTTTAAAAGTTTGTTTCTGCTTAACCTCCAATAATTTGAGAGATACTAAATCACTTGAAAGATAGAGTAGAAAAGATATGAAACCACAATCCTAAAACAGGGCGTCCAGGTGCTAGTGCTGGCTGGTTGGCACTAGGATAACCAGAGACAGCTTTTTGGTTGGGTCCCCTGTTCATGTATAGCTTTTGTTGTTTGTAACCTCTCTCACTAAAGAGCTTGCACTAGGGCTTGTACAGTCCCTTGTTTGGCTTTATTTGCTATCTTTTTTGTATCTCATAGTTTGTTGCAAGCTGC